TAATGTACTCCCCTCTTGGCCATAACACATGGCACATAAAAGTTATATATCTAATTTACAGAGCCACCCATCTGAGCAAGAGACTCTGGGCGGCAGGCAACTAATTATGGAATTTGTAACCACCCCAAACCCTAAAGACTCTAAGCAACTTACAGAACTTAACATAAAACAACTAATAAAGTAATTAAAATAGCAATCTAGTTAAGTTTCCATTTACAACAATGCTAAAAGTATTTTTATCTTTACTGAAAGTGATGATGCTTATAATTAATCCCTGAAGGAAACCCCTGTGTTCACCTGCTTCCAGAAGGCCATGAGGGTAGGAGCTATCCTTTGCTCAAGGGACAACATATTTTCAAGGAAGAAAGCTTTTAAAAGAGGTGTTGCCCTTCCTATTCCCAAACACTCTTGACAAGTGAGGACTCAGAGCAGGCACTCTTATCAGCTTCCCAACTAGACCAGAAAAAGAAACACAGAATGAACTAATCCTACTTTATTATAAGGTTATATTAAGAAAATTTTACAAGTCTGAAAGTACAATTCTCTCGCCATCTTTTTTTACTGGCTGATAATTTAGGATGGATCCTTTCTAAGTTTCTTCTCTGCCTGTTACTCAGTGGTGGGCTCCTCCTCCTTTTACCTGATTGTTCCCTTGCCACGTTCTCCACATACCCCCTTTCAAGGTCATCTTCCATTCTATTGTATGCTTCTTGTTCCAACAAGCAGAAAGTGTTGGGGATAGCCAGAATCTGACACATATAAGTTCAGTTAAAGCAAGCAGACATTTGTTTGGTACTAACAGCAAATTAGGACATGCTGGAGACAAGTGATCACTTTAAAGACATAACAAAGCCATTGTCTGAAAGACCAGAATAAGGACAGAATATCCCAGGCAAAAAATAAATAATTCTACATTGTTGGTAAGAGTCAACAGTCATCTGATAAATAAAAACAGAACAACTTAAGATTTGAACTGAACCTGTAAATCTATGGGTGATCAACATGCATGATGACATTGTGTCCTGGATTACAGTAATTGAAGTTTCCAAGTGTGTCTTCAAGAGGAGACACAACTAGAGATCTAATTTAATTAATGTGACAACAGACATGAGTGACTATCAGTTAAAGTTGCCAACTGGTACACTAAAAGCTATGAATCTCTTAGAAATGATCTCTATTTATACTTCAAGCAAGAACTCCACATCTAGGATGTGACATTGCTCTTTCTGGGGGAAGACAGCCCACATCAAGAGTAAAAAAAAAATGCAACCCTGGCATCAGATGACATCCAAATCTAAAGCTACTCCATCTTGTATGGGTTGAGTTTGAGCCTGGTTTCTCTATCCATGGCCTGAAAGCTTCTAGCTCATGGAAGTCATGGCTTCCACTGTATTGTTCAATGGGCCTAGGATAGAAGTAGACATATCTGGAGATCTTCTGCATATTGTTGATAGCTCAGTCTGAATTGATATTTGACTCTCCCATTAAATTGTTGTTAAATAGGACTGGGAAAGAAGTGAACTCTGCTGCCATATTAAAAGGCCTGTGATTCTGATCCTCTCCCTACAACTATCTGGAGCCACCTGGTCAGTTAGGAATAGAATAATTGTAACACTGTTCACAGTTGTGGTCTGGAAGGATATTGTGATTGGCAGTACTGAAAGATGTCAAGAGATCTAGGAAGACAAAAATGCCCAATGCTGTTTCATGCCCTTTTACCTCATAAAAGGGAATAGAGCAGTACAGATAGTCCTCGGCTTACGATCACAATTGAGCCCAAAATTTGGGTGGCTAAGTGAGACAGTTAAGTGAATTTTATCCCATTGTATGACTTTTGCCATAATTGTTAAGTGAATCACTGCAGTCATTAAGTTAGTAACATGGTTAAATAAATCTGACTTCCACGTTGAATTTATTTGTCAGGTTACAAAAAGGTGATCACAGGACACTGAAACTGTCATAAATATGAGCCAGATGTCAAGCATCTGAATTTTGATCAGGTAACCATGGGGATGCTCTTAACGGTTGTAAGTGTGAAAAACGGTCTTGTCATTTTGTCAGTGTCATTGTAACTTTGAAATGTCACTAAATGAACGGTTGTAAATCAAGGACTACCTGTAATTGTCAAATTTTATTAGATCTATCCAGCTTCTTGAGGAGATGGGGAATTGGTACCTTTTTAAAGGCCTCTAGCATGTCTCTTTCACTCCAAAGTTGTTGACTACAGCCCTGATCTAACTTCTATTTTCTTCACTGGGTCCTTTATTAGCCAGGAGAGCTAATGAACAATGAAATTATTTCCTTCTAATCCTATTCGAGGATCAGGACTGAGGCTTATTACAGCTAATACTACTAATCTGAATGTTGCTATTTGTGAACTATTTCAAGTATTTAATCAGAATAAGTCTGACTACTACTTCATTTTCCTGGATTATTAGTCTAACGGTTTGTAATATTATGGTTATTTTTGTTTTATATTTTAGTATCCATTAACACACCTAGGTTCCCATTGGGTTTAGGTGGAAATAAATCATGTAAATAACTGGTACATAAAAGGATTGCCTTTAGAAACAATATAAAGAAACCATTAACATTATCCTACAGATTTTAATTAGTTGTAGTTATCCTTCAAGCAACAGTAATGACACCATCTCTTTCTTACAAATTTCTTGCCTTACCTGTTCTCCCAAAAAGGTTATGTGCTATCTTCTTAAATATGCTGCTTTAACTTAGATAATTAAGTCAAACCAAGCATTGTGGAAACCAGAAGTTTGTACCAACATATTCTAGCATCCAAGCATATTGATTTTTGTCTTTCCCCCGCTACTTTGAAAGTTCCTGCTTAATATAGTAATAGGATAGTTTCCAGTTTGTATAAAAATGGTATGAAGTGTTACTCTTTCTGTAAGCATGCAACAGAAATATGATATAGGCAAAACACTTCTAAGTTTTTATTTCAATTGAATAAGAATTGACAATGAATTTGGATAATACAGTGGCAGACAACATCAGGTACTTTTTAATAAGCACCTAATATTATAATATTTAAGATACACTAGACAGAAATAAAATATTTAATGTTCTGAACAGAGACATTAGTAAAGAATCCTGCAATCTAGAATAATCTAGAATTATGCTGCAATATACTGTATTACTTGCATCTTTCCCCAAAGTCCCTCAAAGTCAGAATAGAAGATGCTTCTTGGATGAGAAGCAAAATGTTTTCAAAAAAAACCCCAAGAAAATCCAGTTGCCTTTTGGGAAAGCACCTTTGGGACAACCATGACCTGGATGATTGAGAATCTCCAAAACCTACCCTTACAGAAAATAATCTTTATGAATGTTACAGGATAGATGAACTTGAATATGTGTCAAAATATACATGATACTGAGTATTATTCAGTGGAGTATAAAAGAAATGCAATTATAATATCAACATAAAAGTCTACTGATCTGTTTTCACATTTCTCCCAAGATTTTTTGTCACAACCCTCACTCTAATTACAAATTGATATCAAATAGGAACAGAAATGGAATTACTTAAAAATGGAAAGTATCAAGATATTTGAAAAAAACAACAACCTGAAAGCATTGTCTGAAACAGCCTAGTATGGACTGAGTATCCTGATTTAGAATGCTTTGATAAAGAGATAGTGACTATCCTGTAAAAAGATCTAGTTGGACTCAACCATAAAGAGTATATGCACCATCTGACTATAGCATCCTTTAAGTTTTAAAACTCACATCTACATATAGTAACACACATAGGGACATCTAATCATACAAGCATAGTTACTCAAGATATACAGGTAGTCCTCGACTTACGACCACATTTGAGCCCAAAATTTCTGTTAAGTGAGATATTTGTTAATTTCTGTTAAGTGAGATATTTGTTAAATGAGTTTCGCCTCATTTTACCACCTTTCTTGCCACAGTTATTAAGTGAATCACTGCAGTTGATAAGTTAGTCACCTGGTTGTTAAGTGAATGTGGCTTCCCCATTGACTTTGCTTGTCAGAAGGTGGCAAATGGGGATCCCATGACCCTGGGACACTGCAGCCGTCATAAATACGAGTCAGTTACCAAGCGTCTGAATTTGAATCTGACCGTGGGGATGCTTGCAAAATTCGTAATTGTGAAAAACAGTCACATTTTTTTCAGTGCCATTGTGACTTCCAAGGGTCACTAAACAAACTGTTGTAAGTTGAGGACTACTTGTACCACGCAACTGTCATTTCTAAAGTTTCTACCCTCTTTCTGATGAAAATGAGCAGTTTTTTTCTCCCAAACCTGAAATATCGCAGCTGCAAGAACGACTTTCTCAATATAAACTGTAGTCTTGCTGAAATAGCAATCTTTCGGCTGTCCGCGACCTAGATTTCACCAACTATATATATATATATATATATAGCCTTCCTCCCAACTAACGGTCCCTTCCCCATTACACGACAGCTCCACAGGTGCCCCATTAACCAGCAATGCTGGAGACTTAGGCTCCGCTTTACCCGCGACCCCACCTCCAAATATTTGTTTCTTTTCAGATCCCCTCTCCGGCCACTTTCCCTTTCGACAGCCCCTCCTCCCGCGGGTCCGCCCCTTCTTCCGTCCCACCGCCAACTCGGGTCCTCAGGGGTCGCCCTTCCTCCTCTCGGTCTCTTTTTTTTTTTTCTCAGACGGATTTCTTCCTTGCAGATCGCCCCCTTTTCTCGCGTTTTCCCTCCCGCCCAGAACCGGGAAGACGGGGTAGGGTGGGGGGCAAATCCCTCCTTTCCCCAACCCCTGGAGGAGGATAAAAACCACCGGCAGGCCGAAATACTTACGTGATCAGCGCTGCTGTTGGCGCTGTAATAACAGACCGAACTGAAGGTATAGCCTGAAATGGAAGCCGCCATGATGGAGCCCCACCACCTCCGACGACGAACGATCCCACAAGCCACCACACCCGCAACCTCCCCGGCTCGCCTCGCGCCCCGAGTTCCGGCCAGCGCGAGCGCGGCTCCCTGGGAAATGTAGTTCACAAACTGGCAAACGCCAAGTCCGAGGGCAAAGCGAGACGGCCTGAAATTGGTGTATAGTTAGAGCCAGTAACTAAAGCAGCATTATTATTATTATCCCTTGCGTAGAGAATATTTGAATATCGGCTCTTTCCCCAATTGTCACATCTTGGGTAGGTAATTCTTTTTTTTAAATTCCCTGTGTAGGAAATCGCCTCTTGCTTTTTTTGGTCCAAAGCATTTTTAAGGACGGCTCCTTCTCTTCGGAATGGCGTAACTCATCATTTTTTAATGGACGTAACTCAGCTTTTTTAAAGACTGCAACTGTAAACGCGGGTACAGCCGCGGCTATTGATTTGCCCGGCCTTCACTCACCGGAAGAGGTTGAAAGAAGCGGCAAAAGAGAGTCCTCCTGCGGCATAAAAGAAAGCTAACCTTGGACGTGCCCTGCATCTTTTCCGACAATGAGCAGCTGCGGAGAGGAAGAGTTTGAGCCTTCCGCGCTGGGCACCAAAGAACAGTGAGTAGTTGGAGAGGGAGGCTCGGTTGGAAGCAACAGAAACATCTGTATTAGTCCCGCCCTCCCCATCACCAAATCTACTCTGCTTCTACCTGTTGCTTTTAACAAAGAGCACAGAAATAGGAATAGAAAAAATATTTATTGATAGACTAAAACATATAAAGAAGGGTTGCAGGATTTGGCTAGTCTAGAGAAAAGAAGGACTGGGGAGGGGGGGGATGGGACATGATAGCAGTATTCCAGTATTTGAGAGGCTGCCCCAAAGAGTCAATTTATTTTCCAAAACACCAGAGGGCAGGACAAGAAACAATGGATGGAAACTAAACAGGGAAAAGAAGCAACCTGGAATTGAGGAGAAACTTCCTAATAGTGAGGACAATTAATAGCAATAGCATTTAGACTTATTATCCGCTTGACAGTGCTTTTCAGTCCTGTCTAAGCGGTTTACAGAGTCAACATATTGCCCCCAATAATCTGGGTCCTCATTTTACTGACCCTGGAAGGATGGAAGGCTGATTCAACCTTGAATCTGGTGAGATTCGAACTGCCAAATTGCAGGCAGCTGGCAGTCAGCAGAAGTAGCTTGCAGTACTGCATTCTAACCACTGCACCACTACTGCTCTAACCAGTGGAACAGCTTGCCTCCGGGTGCTGTGGGTGCTTCATCACTGGAGGTTTTAAGAAGAGACAGGACAGTCACTTGTCTGAAATGGTACAGGAGACCTCCAAAATTCCTTCCAGCTTTATTCTGATTCAGAGTCCAAGTGTGATTGGACACACAAGGAGTTTGTCTCAGATGCATAAGCTCTCAGTGTACATATAAGCAACAAGTGATAATCATAATAACCATCCTAAATCATAAGACACAAGACTCTGTGATAGTCTGTGATAGTTGTAAGATACTAAATAAAAGCAATCAAAATAAACTCGCCAACAACATACATAGGCAATAAAGGGCAACCTATGATCTAATACATCTAATCACTCACACCAGCAAGAGTAAATCAACAATTCAAACTAATTGAAATGGTGAACCCTGCTAGGGAGGCAAACATTTAGTTGGATATTTATTTTGGGACTAAAAAAATGTCTTATTACATATCATTGCATTCTAAAAAACAGTGTTCAGAAAAACCCCATCTGATTTTAAGGAAAATGCTGGTTTGTTTAAAACTCTGCATGTTTTAAAGAGATGAATCACATTTTTATTCCATCTGGAAAGATTAGATAAGTTAAAAAGAATTCTTACAAATGGGAACCATGACAAGAGATACACTGTTTTTGGATGTTACCTTCTACTCTTTCTTGTATTACAAAATGTATTTCTTGTATTAAAAAAGGTTTTTTAAAAAAATCTTGATAAGTTGATATGTTTTGTAATCTAGTATCCATATGGAGTCCACAGGCCAGATGCGCAGGCCACGCCTACCCCAGCTCTGCAAATGGGAAAAGCTTTGTGAAACATAACGTTACGGCGGCAACGTGATGCTACAAGTTTAATACCCATATTTGCCTGGTCAAAACATAAAATTCTTTCCATTTTCAGAGAATAGCTCTGTTGTCAGAACCACAAACTATACAGTCATTCATTGTGGTCAGTTGATTTGGTGTGCTTGTAAACCAAGGAATTTGGGTTCAATAATTGTCATATTAACAGGATTAAATTAACTTTTGTAATTCTATTGGATTCTTATTCCACTGTTTTCATATATAACTCAAAGCGGTGAACAGATTTAATATTCTTGCCTCCTATTTTCCTAACAACAAATAAGCATTGAGTGCAGATAGTTTCCAAGCGGGTAATGTTGGGTGTTTTCCCTGAAGTTGGAATAATAATTCACAGATTGCTTGCTTGATACCCAGTTATAAATTTTAGAAAATAAGTAGTTTTTTTAACAAAATAACAATACAGTTGCTAAATACTGTGTACTGCATTTTTTATTTATTTATAAAAAATCTATGTTTGATAAGGCTTATTCCCAGCTCTGTAACCTCTTCCCTTTTGGTTTTAAAAATATACATGATAAATGATGAGTTTGAATTTTTTTGGGAAACAGGGATATCTTTTCTTAAATTGTTTCACAGATGAGGGGGAAATGCCAAGCATTTAGTATCATCCTTTTTCTTTTTTTCCTTTGTAGCTGGGATGCAACATATGAACAAGAACTGCATAATTTTAAAGAAAGTGGTGATACTGGGGACATTTGGCAAGTATCTACAACCATGTAACATGCTTCCAAATATGTTTATAATTTATTTTCTTTTTAAAAGTGCAGCTGTTTTGCTCAGAGTATTGGTAATGTGATATTCTGGGTTTTGTTGTTTTTAAAATGCCAACTGTTTTCTTGGCTAACCCTGTTGCAAATTAAAATAATTATTTGTTTTTATGTGGGAAAAATGAATTACTGGCTACAGTATACTTGGTAAAGGTCAAGCATTCATATCCTTGATCTTTTTCAAAAACTGAATAAGAGGTACAGGAAAAGATGCATTGTGGCCTTGAATGTCTGTGTATGTGTAAAATTGACAACCTCTCATCTTCTACAATCTTAATCCAACAAACAGACTTATCTAAACAAACCTGTAACGTGATCTCTAGAGACTGATATCATAATGGTGACATGATGTAGTTACATTGCATGTGATTGACAAAATGTGTTTGTCTTCCTTTAGCCTAACCTAATGGAGTAGTTTATCTGAACCTCTCTTTCTAATTAGGTTTGGTGAAGAAAGCATGACTCGTATAATTAGATGGCTAGAAAAACGAAAGATACCTCTGGACACTTCTGTCCTTGACATTGGAACAGGAAATGGCATTTTGCTGGTTGAATTGGTTGGTATTTGTAATATTAGTGCTTTCTGATGCAAAATGCTTACAGCAGAAATTGAGCAAGTAAGAAACTTTAATGAAATGGTCAGATTAAATTAAATGTAGAATATGCTGATTATACTGCAATGGTCTATGTGCTTGATATGCTTTAAAAAAAACTCTTCATATTAAGCAGGGAAACATTGTTTCATCAAAGTTCAGTTGTATAAAAATGTTGGCTTAAATATTTAGAGTTACAATCAGAAGAATCAAAATCCAATGTAGATTGAATTTGTAAAAATTACTGAAAAGCTGCTACTGAGTGAATTGTACCCATGAAGTCATAATATTGCTTCATTTCTTGACATGCATTAACCACTGCATGGCAACTGGTTTTATTTTCCCAGCTTAATAGTTACAGAATTTGCAGTGTATTGCTTTTGCTAAGATATGTTTATATTGGAGACAAATATCTATCCTATCTTCAATTTTAAAAGGATGAATATGTGTTGTCCCCTTGCCAAAGAGCAGAGTAACCACACATGAGTTCATCAATAAATAGGAGATAACTTTTTTATGTCTCTTAAAATCCAGTGTGATTTATTTCTATATTTATTATCCAAGTACTTATTTGTTAGGCTGGTCCAAAAAGGAAAAGTATCAGAAATATGAAAATTTGATTCACCCGTGCTACTTTCACTGTAGTAGTGTAGCTTCTGCATGACATTAGCATCTGTATGGCAGCTGAATTTCAAAGCTAACAGGTATTTAGTGCAATGTACTATAGCCAATTGGAATCTTTCTATTGATTACTAGGAACTGAAATTAGAAAAGTGTTTAATCAGTAAATAAGCCCTTGCAGGGTTTTTTTGCAAAATAAGCTCTGTAGTCCCCCCCCCCCCCTATAAGTTGGTATAGCTTGCCTAATTATATTTTAGTTCTCCATAGGTTAACCATAATGAATATGTCATGAAAGGCAATTAGGAAACAAAGGAAAAAATGTCTAGTGCTTAATGAATTTCTCTTCTCTTTAGAGTAAATCTGGTTACACCAATCTTACAGGAGTTGATTACTCTCCTTCTGCAATACAACTTTCAAAAAATATAATGCAAAAAGAAGGGCTGCCTTATATTAAACTGCTGGTAAGTTTTTGTGATGGATAAATGAAGATTAACACGATCAGGAAGATTTGAGGGTATGTAGTGTAAAAAAAAAAACACCAAATGATTGAACTGCATTAAAATGCCTTTGATATTCATATATTTTTCTCTATTGTACTCCAGTGCAAACATTTAAATCAATATGAACCAAGTTTCCTTCCTTCCTACTGACTATATAGTGGTCTTCAGTCATATTCATCAAGGGATTTCGGGTAGTCCTCGATTTACAACAGCTCACTTAGTGACCATTCAAAGTTACATCAGCACTGAAAAAAAATGGCAAAAAATGATTTATGCATATTTTTACAGCATCCCGATGATTATGGGATCAAAATTCAGGCGCTTGGCAACTGGTTCATACTTATGACCATTGCAGCTTCTGGGAATCATGTGATCACTGTTTGCGACCTGACAAGCAAAGTCAATGGAGAAGTGAGATTCACTTAATAGCCAGGATACTAATTTATCAACTGCAGCAATTCATTTAACAACTGTGGCAAGAAATGTTATAAAATGGGGCAAAATTTACTTAAGAAATGTCTCAATTAACAACACAATGTTTGGGCTCAATTGTGGTCATAAGTCAAAGACTACCTGTAATTACAAATCATTGCAACAAGGAACCTTACTGTACAAGCAAAATGCAATTCTGAGTGATCAAAAGCAAGAAAGATTTTCATATTATCGATATAGGAGTATAATTTTTTAAGGCTACAGTCCCAGATAACACCAAACACCATTTGGTCCTATTCTGTTCAGTTTTCAAGTGCTGATAAGACAGTTCTCTGTGCTAATGCACAAATACTAGTCAATATCCATTTACATTGAGTTGAAAGGAGTAAAAATCATCAAACATACATAGATGGTTGATGTGCAGTTAAATTATTAGTCTGGGCCTGTAGGCAATGCAGTTCTTATAAAAAGTAATAATTGCATTGGCGTGTTCTAAAGTTTAACAGTTATACCTACCTTCTACAGATTGAAGACATTTTAAATCCCTCAGATGAACTATCAAGTTTTCAGATCTGCATTGATAAAGGGACTTTTGATGCTATTTGTCTGAGCCCAGATGGTACAGCAGAGAAAAGGAAACAGTATGTTAAATCCCTGCAGAGGCTATTGAGATTAGATGGCTTTTTCCTCATTACATCTTGTAACTGGACTAAAGAAGAACTGTGCAAACAATTTGAAGAAGGTGTGCATGCTAAGTTTCAGACTGTATATACCTACCGATAACCTAAAATGTGACTTTGGTTTTTATATCTTCCTAGGAAAATACTGTAACTCTTATTTGAACAATGCGTTAGTTGAATTTTGGTTAGTATTTATTTATTAAACTATTATGCTGCCCATCTTACTGAAGTGACTCCAGGTAGCTTACAGTCATAATTAAAACATGATTTAAAATCTTAAACAATAAATAAAAACTATATATTAGAAAATTCAATTAAAATGAAAACCAAGATGGGAGGAAGGGAGCCAAGTGTGCATTGGGGAAAAGGTAGGATCTATCTAATCCATTAAACCCCTACAAGATGGTAGTAGACTCAGCTCTTCAACCCTTTCAGAAGGGTGGATGCAGTTCTCATCTGCCTGGGGGCAGCAGAGGCTCTTCAGAAAGACTTTTCTGCACTTCGCTAGCTGAAATTCCTTACTGATGGGGACTGCAGCATGCTGCTTCTGTCAGTGCGTTTGGGGCAGGTTCATCCCATTGAGATGACCCAGTTCCTCAGATACTATTATTGGATCCAATCTATATTAAAGCATTAATAAGAATTCTTATGCTCATCTTTATTTGAATTCGTAAGACTAAGGCCTATTAAATCCTTATTCTGAAAGGTTGATGTTCAGTGTAAGCTACTGTATAAACAGTTTCCAAGTACCTCAATTTCAGTTGAAATATGTGGCAACAGACATTTTGCCTTCAAAATATATAGGATATTGAAAAATGAAGCATATATATTTGCCTTTAACTCAGATGTGCTATTGGTTGCCTCTATGTTACATTTTTAATTATTATACTACAGTAATGCATCAAAGAAAGAATGTCAGCAATCTTAAAAGCTTTGCTTTCTACTAAAGCAACAAAAAGCTGCTTTTTAAGTGAACAACAGCTTGACTCTGGCAGGAAAAACATCTATTATTTGCAGTGGGGTATAAAGTATGTGAAGTTCTGTTTTAAATCAAAATGTTGAAGCCTTGGTCATTAACCTTTCGTATGTGAGACAGAGTGAGGCTAGTTGGAAGACTTACTAACAAAAAAACATTTAAGCTTTTTTAACATATCCAACTGATAGTTTAGTAATTATCTATCCTACACATTTCTATTTGAATACTTGAAAATAAGGTGTTATGCATATTCCTATTAAAAATATGGCACTACCCAATATTCTCTCTGGTCTCTTCTTATTCATTTGATAAAGACAGAAACAGCATGCAAAAAGATTATTAAAACCAAGACTAAGCTTTTAGATGTAGGAAACACAATTTAGATTTTCTAATAACTGGTTTCTGGCTCCAAGAAAAATAATTTCTAGTTCTTGAAACTGCACTTACTATTAATGATAACATTTTATTTATGTGCAGTTTATATTGGCCCACACTATAAAATTACCATTCTCCTAAATTTTGCAGAATTTGTTGTATGTATTCTGTTTCAATTAATACCAGAATTTAAAGGATTAACAGGGCTTTTAATAGAAATATTTTCCTTATATTTAACAGGGTTTCTGCTTTTGGAAGAACTGCCAACACCAACCTTCTGTTTTGGAGGAAGAACTGGAAATAGTGTGACTGCCTTGGTTTTACAAAAAACATAAAAGTTTTTGATAAATTTTGGGATGAAGGTCTCCTTTTATGAATTTTGGATTATAACACAAAACTGGATTAAAAAGTGAAATACAAGTTTTAGAAATTTGACAGATATGTTTGATATTTTTGAGGTAAATTTTATTACATATGTTTTCCATAAAAAATTTCAATGTTAATTAAATAGTCCTTTTCTATCTAAAATACAAGGTATTTAATTATGGAAAATGAATGTATATAAATCCTATGAAAAAAAATCATTTATCATTGTGGTTGATGATGTAATTCCTTAAGACAGTTTATTTAGAAATATGTGCTTGAGATAACTTATTTGATAATTATTTTTTTTAAAAAAAATTGAAACTGTGGGTTTACCTTGTTACCTAAAGAACACAAAAATGTTCTATTCCCCGAGGGATAAAATAAGTGTCTACAAAACATTAAAACATTAAAATATTCCTACCATAGTAATGTAGAAGAAATAAAGGAAGAATAAGAAGACCAAACTAAGAAAAACTCTATACAAATTATTGTATATTAAGCATATCTAAATACCATTTCTGCACCTGAGGCAAATTCCTTGTGTGTCTAATCACACTTGGCCAAGTAAAGTATTCAATTCAATCCAAAAGATAAGCCAAACATTAATTGATCCTAGTTAGGAAAACACTGGTTTTTGTTTCTGGGGTAGCCAGCTGGAAGGGTTGCATGACACAGGTCACTAAGTGATTCACAGTTTCACTGGCTAGAATAGATAGATGACTGATGATCACCACATAATAGCATTAATACTAGTTTTTCAATTCAGAGAAGTCAGAAATTGAAGTCTTAAACATGTTTGTGCCATATCTGTAAATTAAAATTTATGAACATTTTAGTTCTACCATACATTCTTTTCAACACTTTGTGTCTTCATTGATTTGCACAGCTTAGCTTCTAGCATTAAAAAAAAATATTCAGTATGAATAAGTGATGCTTCAAGGCAGAATTTCCAGCAGCATTTGGATTGTTTCATAACTGTCAGCAAGGACATAATGGCATGAAGGACCAGTATTGAAAAAAATGCTTCTTTAGAAATTTGAGATACCAATTTTAATTTTAGAAAACCAACAAAGAATACATGTCTGATATCCCTGGAACTATTCTATTAATTTCTCACAAGCTTTTTGTGTTTTTGAGATTATACAAATAATATGAGAGGAGGAACCAGTTTTTCCCTCCCCTGGTCTAAGCAAACATTGTAGACAATAAGGCAAAAGAGACTGAAGCATTTTTTTAAGTTCAGAACATCCAGATAACATTTGAAAGCAGCTCAAAGAGACATTTCCTTAAACCAGGGGGTGTTAAACTCACATCATCACGGAGGCATCATGTGACATATTGGGACTTTTTCTTCCTTCACTAAACTGGGCATGGATGTAGCCAGTGCATGACGCATGCAGCCCCGCAGGCTGGGAGTTTGACAGTCCTACCCTAAACTATAAAAGGGAAGAGCAGATACAGCACATTTGGACTTGCCTGAATCTAGTACAGCCAATCTTGACAAAAGTTTCAGCCATTCTATGGAACTAATTTCATGTCAGTGAAACTGACAATCACATATTTTTAAATTGTTTTCAATAAGGTTCATTAGTTATGCAGGACAGTCTATCAGAACAAAACACAAGTATACTTTATCTACTTAATTTTATTGTTCAGTTGCTAATTCGTGTCTCTTTGCGATTCCATGTACCATTTTTCCACTGTCCTCCATTGTCTCCCGGAGTTTGCCCAAATTCATGTTCATTGCATTGATGATAGTATCTAACCAGCTAATCCTCTGCCATCCCCGTCTCCTTTTGCCTTCAATCTTCGCCAACATTAGAGTCTTTTCCAATGAGTCCTCTCTTCTCATTTGGTGGCCAAAGTATCTGAGCTTCAGCTTCAGTATCTGTCCTTCCAAAGAACAATCAGGGTTGATTTCCTTTAGGACTGATTGATTCGATCTCCTTGGCAGTCCAAGGAACTCTCAAGAAACTTCTCCGACACAATTCAAAAGTATCAATTCTTCGTCGCTTTAGCCTTCCTTATGGGATAACTCTCATGGTCATATATTATTACTGGAAAGCCAAAGCACTGACTTAGTATTTTAATTTCATCTGAAGAATTGTAGGAATCTCCTATAACTTATTCTATAAGTCCTCTATACTAATATCTCCTGTTTGGAACATCTAGAGGGGAACTGTTACCCCAGTTTACTTAAATCTACCATATATTAGGAATGGTTTGTAGGCCAGAGTTTGCTCTCAAATAAGTTCTATGGTTTTGTTTAATATAAAATATTTATTACACTACTGTAAGGAGAATAATTAATAACTTTCATATTGTATATATAAATACTTTCTTAGAAAATGTTAACTTCCACTTCCACTCCTGTACTTATCCCTCCTATTTTTCAGTGGCAGAAAAACATATACAGTCCCTGGCTTGAAAAAAAATCATATTTTTTAATTTTTTACCACTTAGAGTCCCCCTGTGACATAAAGTAGATAGACAATTTTAAAAATTTGATAAAATAGCACTTTCTTTTCATAAAAAGCATCCTTTTCATTTACAAATTAACTTTGGCCAAAGATTTCGGGTATGTATTTATTATTGTATAACACTGTTGTATGCATGCAATCTACAAACATTTTAAATGAAAGGTTTGGCAGTAAGATCTATAATTCCATTTTCCCTTTTTATTTTCTGGTTTATGAGACGGCTTTTCTCACTTTAGTATTATGGAAATAATAGGCTCACTGTGTTAAATGTCACAAATGGGCACTTGTGCACTGAGACATTCTCAATAATTTTTCATGCACATTTTATGAATACAAATGTCCCAACTGTATGTTATGAACAATAAGTTACCAGTTCCAATATGAGTAAATTTCTTTAACTGCAGTTTTAACTGCATTGAGATTGATAAATAACAGATAAATTTGACATATACGTTTCTTTCCACAAACTGTAAAACCTCTTTCCCCTGCTTGAGCTGGATTAGAAGACTTCCAGTCCCTTCCAGTTCTATATTCTATTCTCTGTAACCCTGATTCCTAGTATTTCTGGTGTCTTAGATCTGTGTTATTTACAAACCATTAACATTGGAATGAATTTGATCATTTCACAATTTAACTGATTTATTTCTTAAGCCAGAATTGTCTAGTTTATACGAAGCCAAAACCACATTGTGACTTATACATATTTTGAGACGTGACAGAGTGAGGCTGTTAAGAGAAAGAACTAGAATCATTAAATGCAGGAATGTATATTCTACAAAAAAAGGATGAAGACATATATAGAAATCTAAATGGAAACATTTGGAAAAACAAAGGAAATCAGAACGTATGCCTGTTTTCATTTGGATTTACAAAGCACTATTCAAAAATATTTCTCATTCTCAGTTTCGTCATAGAGGGCCTTGCATTATTGAAACCCAAGTGGATAAACTCAACAGATAACAGCTGGCCAACTCATTCAGATTTATCACAGAAATGATAAATGCCTCCATAAGAGAAGGGCATCATAACTGTAAGGAGGAATTATGACAGATCTTTAAAAGTTAACCTTGCCTTGACATGGATAACTGTACTAGCTGTGGGCTTACAGGAAATACTCTTTTCCTGGGCAACATGCTTTGTCAGATATAGCTGCAAATAAAATTCAGTCATTCCAGAGAATCGGTTTCAAGCCTGCTTTTGATTTAGCATTAATCATGGTCCTTGTGATAATCACCAATGCTAGAGGATGGATTTGAGGAGAATTGTGTTAGCTATTGAATGTTCTAAATCTAGGCAGCTTGGCCCGCATCATCTGCAGTGTATTTCAGAAAAGCAAAGAATAATAATTACCATCACTGCAGAGCTATCTGTGAGTGACAATATACATGGCCTTCATGTCATACTGTCTATCAGCTGAGATTAATTCACCAGAGGCAACATTTTTTGGACAGATTGCCTAGTTCTAATTATCCATCCTGTAATCTCTAGGCTACAGCTGGAACATTTTATACATGAAGAAGAAATTGCAATTTGAAATATAGATATTGGCCTACTGGTGCTTCTTTTCAAACTTGTTTGCAATTTAGAATATTTGAAATATAATCTATAGCTATAATAACACATTCAGGTCCTATTTTATCAGATGAAAATAATTCCAATTTTCCAGGTCTTTTTAGCCTCCCCCCCCACCCAAATTGGTTTTGTGCCTTCATTTGTATTTCTATTTAAGATGTAGTTTCAATATGGTAACTTTTTTGTTTATGGTTAGGTTTTGTTTTAAATTATGCTTGTCAAGAAGAGATTTTTTGAAGAGAGTGGCATACATAATAAATAAATGAATGACATTCTCTTATGAAAGGCTGATTTTTGGGAGTTATCCGGGGTATCTTGAATAAATCTTTTAAAATATAATTTGACAAAGGCAAATATGCAATGCATCAACATTAACAGTTTATTATCCTGTGATGCTATGCATTTCAAAACATGGATTATTAAAAATACTTGTTACAGATGTTGCCTTCATTACTTTAAACCTGGAATGTAAGATTTTTACAACCATTAAAGTATGTATCTGGCCTAAATCTTGCTTCCTTATATAAAATGGATCACAAGAGAGAGAAAAGAGTTTTTTTATTATTTTTGTCCTAAACTCTATTTTACATATTAAAGTTTTTTTTTTAATGGTGATATTATTACAGAGTACTAGATAAAACCAAATAGAGGATAAAGTATATTTGAAATCTGTAAAGGTGCTTTAGCTTTCAGTTACCAATACAGTTCTTATATCTTAGGTTAACGTTAACTAAGGAGCAATTGTTTTAGCAACCATTAAGTGTATAAAAAAAACCTCAGGCAAACCAAGCCTTGAATTTTCTCCAACTCAATAACCCTGTGGATTTTATTTCTCAGACTGTTCAGTCTGGACAACAAATTGAGGTATACTTTATGTGCAAAGACTCCAAAGCTATAATTTCAAGTGCTTTAAACACCAAAGTTACTATGTATATTCTTTTCTATATTAAATCAAACATAATAGATGTAGAAGGGATAATTTTGCTATGCAGGATGCCTTTCTTATGAATTCAAACAACTAACATGGCAAGAGGTGATCATGTACATATTGCAACCAAGTGGAGAATTAACAATAGTAGCTCTACTTATTAAAATGCTCACTGTATTATTAACTTCAATTTATCTAATGCTTCTGCTTTAGTTAAAATCTAGAGTTTGATTACAAAATTATAAATATTGACCCTCCCCCCTAAAAATCCCTTCGATTTAATGGTGTTATAGAACCCACATAGAAAAGAGAAATATTTAAACGTGCTAGCACTGTGTAGTCATCTTCAGGTTCACAAAATAAGAAACATTTATTGTAATAATGAAAGGAGTATAAGCATCCGGGACCTTTTTTTGCAAGTCAGCAGTTTATTAAGGGATCAGTACATGCCAGTAGGAGTCACTCTAAGCTTAACAGAAAATTTAAGAAATTAAAATATGGCATATTTGCATCCAATGCACTAATTAATTTTAATAAAGTAGTTAGTTTTCCTGCTTAAACAGCACCAGCATTCGAGCTTCTTAAAATACAGCTGCCTTTCTAGAAAACTACTCCACAGTAGAATTATTGTAAGCTAATTCATTTACTAGAAGTTCCCTTAAGTTCTGAAATTAGAAAACATTTAATCATAGGGGTATTGGACACATTCGTTAGACTAAACTGAAATTTTAATGTAAGCCACAACACATATCACACATATCTCACCAAAACAACTTAAACATTGTAAAGATAGGCTCAATTTACCAAAATAATATGGAGTGACACGTATTTTACATTATATACATTTTTCATGCACCTCTGAGAATTTTTGTTGAATAGCTTCTAGGACATAATGATATTCATATATTTTTAGTCTCTTCAGGAAAAAGATACAAATATTTGATCAGCTCTGGTAGCAATGTAGTGGTTTAAAGCAGTGGTCGCCAACTGGTGGGCCGTGGCCCACCGGTGGGCTGTGAGAAAATTTTGGTGGGCCGCAGAGAAATCTCACTCCCAGAGCACCCCCCAAAGCAATTAATCCAGGCTGCGCAGAAACATAAGGCTGTGCCGCCCACATGGCCCGTGGGAACTCTCCCCACCCACTCACCCGGTAAACTTGCCTGCTAAATTGCTATTTTTCCTTTTTCCAACCATCATCTGTTCTGCTGGGAAATTTAGATTAGCTAGGAAGCAGGAAATGGTTGGATTTCTTGCTTTCTAGCTAGTCTTTAGATCTTCGGCTCAGCACAGCCGAACCTCCCTTAGGACTGAAGGTTTGCTTGCAAGCAAATTCAGTGCAGACTCACGGCAAGCAAATTTGAGAGACTGAGCTAGCCGATGGCAGATAGATAGATCACTGAATGATTCTGTGAGCAACTCAATCTGCCTGCTTTGCCTGATTTTGGGTAAAAGTTGCTCTTTTTTATAAAAAAATAAATATTTACATGCATGGTGTGTTGTGAGTTAATTTTGTGAGTTTGCTTGCTACCAAATTTTATGAGTTTGCCTGCAAGCAAATTTTATGTGACAGACTGAGCTAGCCAATGGCAGATAGATAGATATGTGAATGAATCTGTGATTCCCCGAGCAACTCAATCTGCCTGCTTTGCCTGATTTTGGGTAAAAGTTGCTTTATAAAAAATTCAATATTTATATAAATATTTATAATATTTTTATACAAGCCATGCCCAGCCAGTCACATGACCACCAAGCCACACCCACAAATTAGGCCATGCCCACAGAACCAGTTAGTGGTCCCTGGGATCTAAAATTATGAGTTTGGTGGTCCCTGATGTCCAAAAGGTTGACACCACCTGGTTTAAAGGGTAGTGGATTAAATACATCCCGATTTAAATCCATTCTCAGTAATGGAAATTTACTAGATACCTCAATACTACTTTCTAAGCTCAAGGCTTGCTATTGGAAGTTACAGTCCCAATGTAATGTGGTTTGAGTTTTGGAAGGAAATATGGGATGTATATTATCAGATTTACGTCTGACAATGCATTGACTTTTAACTCAATCAAAATTTACAATCCAAGACAGGGCGTACAGATTGAGAACAGAAAACTAAACCTAAACTGTGCATATCAATGCGTAAAACTACTGTACAGGTAGTCCTTGACTTACTACCACAATTGACCCCAGAATTTATATTGCTAAGTAAGAAATTTAAGCGAGTTTTGCCCCATTTTATCTTGCCACATTCATTAAATGAATTACCACAATAGTTAAATTAGTAATATGGTTAAGTGAATCTGGCTTCCCCATTAACTTTGCTAGTCAGAAAGCCACAAAAGGAGATCACATGACCCCAGGACACGGCAACCATCATAAAAATGAACCAGTTGTCAAGTATCCAGATGTAAATCATGTGCAATGGTCACAAGTGTGATCAGAAGTCACTTTTTTTTCCAGTAGTGATTCTCAAGTCATCCAGGCCATGGTTGTCCCAAAGATGCTTTTTTCCCCGCTCCAGAGGCAACTGGACTGTTTTTTCTTTTGAAGATGTTTCGTTTTTCATCTAAGAAGCTTCTTCTGACAGAATAGTGGGGAATAGGATTTATATTCCTTGCAGACAGCTGGTCATTTGCATCCTTTTAGAGCAGGGGTCTTCAAACTTGACAGCTTTAAGACTTGTGGACTTCAACTCCCAGAATTCCTCCTCCAGTCATGTTAGCTCAGGAATTCTGGGAAGTCCACAAGTCTGAAACTTGCCAAGTTTGAAGACCCTTGTTTTAGACACAAGGAAACACCTGGAGGTTTATCTCTGTCCTCAGGGTCACCCGAGTAGTGCTAATAGTTCCTGTAGTCTGCAATTTTTCCTCTGGAAATCCATTTTCTACTCCCACACCAAGTAGGAATGGATAAAATTACCATAAAAGGATGCAAACAACCAGCTGTGTCCAAGGAAGATAAATCCTTCCATTCCCCACCATTCTGTCAGAGCTGAGGAAGATTCTTGGGTGAGAAGCAAAATGTCTTCAAAAGAAAAACAAGAAAGCCCAGTTGCCTCCTGAAAAAGCACCTTTGGGACAACCATGATCTGGATGACTGAGAATCTCTACAGACTTTTAGCTATACAATTTGGGATGTACACTCTTGGAATGGTGTGGGAGAAGGAATGGATTTCCAGAGGAAAAATTGCAGACTACAGGAACCAGGAGCACTACTCAGGTGATTCTGAGGACACAGATAAACCACCAAGTGCTTCAATGACCCTCTAAGTCTAAAAGGATGCAGATTACCAGCTGTCTGCAAGGAATATGAATCATTTCATTCCCAAGTATCCTGTCAGAGCTGTAGAAGCTTCTTGGATGAGAACCGAAACGTCTTCGAAAGAAAAAAACAACAAGAAAGTCCAGTTGCCTCCGGAAAAAGCACCTGTGGGACAACACACTGGTGTGCTCTCCCCCTCCCTCCGTTACAAATGCAGTAGACGTTGGCTGGCGGCCCCTCCTTTCTACAGCCGCGCGATTCGCACCAGAACGTCAACGCCGAACCTTCCACGCCGCGCGCTTCGCGCCGTTCCCTCCGTCGTTTCTTTTTTAAAGGTCTCGCGGAGAGCGAGCTTCAAACCCGGAAGCGACAGGCCTATTTCCTTTTTCCGGGATGGACGATTTCACAGCATTGGCGTTTCAGCCGGGAGGGGGGGAAACGATTTTGTCGAATCCTCGAAAACGATCCAAAGCGGGGTTTCCATGGGGGGATCCAGCAAGGATCGACTTCGAAACTGGATTCCAAGCCCGAAGTCACAGCAAGAAACGGCACTGAGCTTTAGCAATCGCTTGGCAGCCTTTTTTTTAAAAAAAAATCTCAAGTCTCCCCCCCCCGCTGTTTCCCGGTCTTTTGCCGTTGGTTTCGTCCTGGGGGCAGATACTGTTACAATGTGTAGACTGAAACCAACTCGGGCACTTTCATTCCCTTCTTGGAGAGGCAGAGAGAGGAAGTCAGGCTGCCTTTGAGGTGGAAGCTTTTTTTTTTCCTCCCATCTTTTCATTTTATTCTTTATCGCTTATTCTTCCCTGCTTTTCTCTTTCCTTCTCCTGGTAATTTGCACTTTTGCGTTTTCTAACTTGCCTGCACGTGGGAAGAAAAAAAAAAGAGGGGGTGCTTGGAATTTCATGGGGCGATCCGGTACCTCCTTGGCTGCTCCTTTCAGGTCCGCTGTGCTTTATTGGCGTCCCGAAAATACACCCATAGTAGTGAGTAGGAAGGAGATGACTTGATTCCCGTCGGCTTTTCTGATTTCATCGCTCGGGGCTGCCAAAGGGCTGGAGAGGGTTTGGAGAAAGGGCTGGAGGAGGCATGGGGATTGGGGGCTTTTTTGGGGTGTGGAGAGGGGGAGTTGGAGAGTTGCCTCTCAGTTTGATGCACTTGGCATGTCACTGCATGGGTGGGTTGATTGACTGAATGCAGACCCCTCTCCTGTCTGCAGATCAATCCTTGAGTTCACATTTTCTTTCTCTTCCCGTCCGTCCCCAAAGTAGATCTTTTTCCCTTTTGCTTTTTCTCTTTCTAGGACCATCGTAATTCACTTGCACATGGCGATACTATCTGCCCTTGAACGGCTGTTGTTAAAGTCATATATATATTTCCGATACGTCATTGATTTATCAGCTGTATGAGCAGTTCCCTCCAGCCTTCATTTCTTGTGAAAATGAAAATCGGGCTGGCAGCGGGCAGTTATTGTGTGCAAATCTTTTTTTTTTTTTTAAATTGCTCTATTCATCTCAGGACTTGCCAGCAGTGTTTGGATCTCTCTGCCATGCTTGTTCTACACATCTTTTAATTTAAATCCCCGTCTGTCTACATCTGTTTTCTGAGTTGGTTTGATAATGTAGATTTCAATGTGCGTTGTATGAACTGTATAATAATTTTGCTACAGTTGAATTACCATTCTGCCAAGAAGTCTGTAGCCCTTTCAGCTTTATGTCTCTGGGAGTAGGTTACTCATACATTTAAGTAGCTTAACCTTCTATTAATACTTGCTTGAACTTTTCTACTCCCTTATTTCTTCGAAAGGAAGATGAAGTATGGCCAGTTCATACAAACAAACAGTAATTTATATTTTACAGTTAGGCCAAGGTGAAATGTGATCTTATTAAAATATTGTTTCTTGCACAATCAAATTTAAAATCCTCAAATGCAATAGTAGTAGTCATTTGTGTCCCATACATGAGCAAAGGCACATTATAAAATAGTCATGAAAATAAACGGCTTATCTGATATGATCATTTATTTGTTTTTGTGTTTGTTTTAATTTAAATGTCATTTGCCTTCTGGAGCAACTTATCACAGACTGCGCATTTGATATGTAAGTTAACCATTTGCAGATCTTTTAGTTTTGGAAAAAAAGCTGTGGAAGTTATAAAATTTAAAGCAGAACTTATTCCCCTCTTTTTGTTCTAAGGGGAAATGAACCATTGTTTGAGATGATTTAAGAGTGCTAGTTTGATACCATGGTATAAGACTATACCGATCAGTGTATATATCAGATATATACGGATATCAATCAGTATATAAGTTATTTCAATCATAGGAATGCATTGCTTTGTTATAGGGAAGAATGCAAAACCATGTAAAATACTGTTAGGTACCAGATGTGAAAATGTTATTTGCTTTGATGTATAATTATTTCACTACTGAGCCAAATTTTAGTGTGCAGGATTTCTTGCATTTGGGTATGCAATATTGATGAATTCTGTGTGCTCTGCCATACTGAAAACAACTACTTGTTGCAACTTGAATAAGAAAGGTACCGCTACAGCAGCTATTGCAATCTGCATTTAAATATTTTTTGAATGAATATTTAGGCTGCTGTCCTAAAGTCACTTATTAAACAGTAAACTAGGCATTCTTTAACTTTGCACATGCAAATGATAAATTTCCAGTTTGATCTAGTGGTAAGATAGGTAGGCTAGAACATGAGAAACCATGAGTTAAAGTCCCACATGAAAGCCAGCTGGGTGACTTTGGGCCAGTCATTCTCTTTCAGCCCAACCCATCTCACAGAGTTATGGGTAAAATAGGAGTAGGAAGGTGTGTTGAATATGTTTGCTGCCTTGAGTTATTTATAAAAATAATAAAGGCAAAATACAAATAAATAAAATAAAAATAAATTTGTGGGACAGCTCCACATAAATAATAATGCTTTTCATTTAGGTTAGGCTTTGGCCCAAAAATAAATAGGCATCAGGTTGGCCCTAGCAAAGCTGCAGTGCTCTCAGTATATTTGCTCCAGCTTTGCTTGCCTGGGCAAGCCCAATTGCTTTTAAAACTAATTGCAGATCCCCCCTCTCATGACCTCCAGAAATCCTGAGAATCCCTTCAGTAAGCCCAATTGAAACTCAGTGCAACTTATTTTAATGGAACATATATAGTAGCCTTCCCTACCAGGTATCCTCTAGATGTGTTAGGGTTCAACATTGGCCATTTTGGCTGGGGATGATGGGATTGAATTAAAACAGTTATGGAAAGCCCACTGGAGAAGACATACATAGCAAGTTAGGGTTGCACATATCTTAAGAATTAGGTCCATAATCACATTTTCTTTTAAGAGTAAAGCTATACTTAAGCATTTTCCCACAGAACACCTAGTTATTGAGATTATAAATTCCAGAATTTCAGGTATCGCAATCAAAGATTAAATTGGTTTGAAATTCTGAGAATTACAACTACAATTCCTGGATAATGATTCCTTTAGTTCAGTCTCTTCTGTGGAGTGAATATTATGAGTTCTTGTGGCACAATGGAAAACCTAAAAATATCATAACAAAACCTGTGTTTAAAGATAAAACTGTATACTAGTGAAGTAAATAAAGTTGATGTCATATAGGCAGAGAACTGAATATAATTACTGACTCTTGTAAATTTAATCATCTGTAAGTTTCACTCTTGGTTGATAAAATGCTACATGAAAGTTCAGGTGAGGCTGGAAAATTGATGAAGATTTTTAATGGCAAGAGCTCCTCAATATTTGGACTTAGCAGATTGGAGATATAGCAATATAAAGTTCTGCAGATATATTACTTGCAGACAACCTAATGAACTTTTCTATCTGAGACAGTTGCTTCTTTCTTCAGGTAAAGATGCATAATATCCAAGATTAGATTTAATTAGATTATTTTGACATCTGAAATGGGAAATTCTTCAATTGCATTTTCCATTTCTTAGTATTAAAAATATAATTAGAAATTGAGACTTCATGGCACAAAAATTATTGGCTGCCCACTCATCTATTAAAGAAATTTTGTTGACTAAATGTTGGCTAAATGGCAGCAATCATGTTGGGGTAGGAACAGGAGGTCCGTTGCATGGCGCTCAGGTCTTGAATCTGGGCTGTCAACTTTCTATTTGACAAGCTCAGTGTCTTTAACCACTGAGCCATCACACTCCCTCTAAATTCATTTTAATTCTCAATATTGTACTGGAGGCATGTTTGGGGTGCTTTCATTTATCTCTCCTCCAATTATAGCTTCATAGTTACCCAAATTTTTGTGAATTGTTGGTCATGTGGAAAAATCCTATTGTTGGATCTGTAGGCTTTCCCATCCCTTTCCCCCCACAATTGGAGATACTAGGAATTGTTTTGATAGGTAGGTATGTAGGTAGGTAGATACAGTAGATAGATAGATAGATAGATAGATAGATAGATAGATAGATAGATAG